CATAGCTCATAGACACAGACCATGGTTCGGTGAAGGCATGGGGTGGGATGGGAGCTGGTCGGAGGGGGGACAACGGGGAGGTGGAATGGGGGACATCTGTGATACCCTCAACAATAAAAATAAATTAAAAAAAAAAAAAAGATTAGCACATATAGAAGTTCACGTGTCCGGCGGGCCGGACTGCAAAATCTGTCCTTGCAGCTGGGGTTCGAGAGCAGAGTTATGAGCTGTGGTGGCCTGGATGTGGCAAGACGGGCGTTTAGGGCGTTTCTTCCCCACTTTGACTGAGTGCTCGTTGAAAGGCGTGCTTCGGCAACTGCAGCCAAAGGAGGCTTTATGCTTCCAGAAAAGACTCCAGGAAAAACACGGCAGCCGAAGTAGGATGCAGCTGTTGGACCCGGCTCCACAGGGAAGGGTGGAGAGCTTCCCAGTTCGCTCGAAAGTTGGAGATAAAGTTCTTCTTCCAGGATATGGAGGCACCAAGGCAGTTCTGGACAACAGGGGTTCTTTCTGATTTAGTGATGGTGACATTTGTGCAAAGTATGTAGACTGAAATAAATCACTGTTGAAAATGGCATCACGCGGGTGGGAGTGGGGATGGAAGTGGAAGAGGGCACACAGGGGGTAAATGGTGACGGGGAAAATAAAATTAAATTTTTTTAAAAATGGCATCACCTGAAGTTGCCCATCCCATTGAATTTCTAAAATCTTTCATCACATAAATAATTTCCGCTTTTCTTTTATAATAAACTAGTGACACACAGTCATTAAAATTTAGTTTCACTGTACGGATATAAACATTGTGGAATAAAAATATATAAATAAATGGTTCAAGAAACCATTTATTTATACATTATTATATAATATATATTTAATTACATGTTATTTATAATATAATAATAATAATATACAATCAGTGAGGGACATACGTTTTTGCAAGCCCTACACATTCCTGATACCTTTCTTCTTGAGTGTCACCGAACAGTCTCATTCTCGCAGTAAGGACCATTCATCAAAGATAAGTAGGTGAGCGAGGCATTCTCACAGTGGGTTCTCACGATAACCCTTTGGCGGATACTTTCAGAATTCCTTTTCTTTTTTCATGTAGGGAAACTAAATCATAAAAGGGATAGGTCATCTATCCAATAGTGAGTACACGGCACAGCCAAGATTTGAACCCAGCTGGTTTGGGAACGCTAGTCCTGGTTCTTAAACCACAGCATTGTATTGCCTCACCCCTGAAGAGTTGTGCTAGCTGAAGCCCAGTGTTCAAGATGTGGCAACTTGGTGCTCCACTTGGTGCCAGAACCTTCTTCTAGATACTATTGGAATCCAAAGGGAACGGTCAAAGTCTTCCAATACCGCCTTCACACCAGCATCAGGACCTGGAGAGTCCTCCTCCTCCTGTTGCCACCTGTGAACTGCCATGCTCCTCTCTAAGGCCACCCTCTCCACTTGGATCCCATTCTCCTCTCTGTTCAAGGGCATCATTCTAGCATTCTTCCCCTCTCCTGCATCACCAATAACCCCACATTGACAAATCCAATGACTGAGTTTCAGCTCTTAGAAGTACTTGACAGTTTATTATCCCCTCCTTCTTCTTTTTATTTGTTTATTAATTTTCAAGAGAGAAGGGGGAGGGAGGGAGAGAGAGACAGTGAGAGAGAGAGAGGAACTTAGATTTGTTGTTCCATTTATTCATGCATTCATTGGTTGTTCTTGTATGTGCCCTGACCAGGAATTGAACCCTCAACCTTGACATATCAGGACAATGCTCTAACCAACTGAGCTACCTGGCCAGGGCCCATCCCTTCCTTCTTAATAGAATCAGGATGCAATGGGGATTGGTATCACCAGACCCGCAGGACGATGCTGTCTCCTGGCTTCCTAACTTTCTCACTGTCCACACTGTGTAGCCAGCCTCCAAGATGGCCCCCAATAATCCTCACCTCCTGGTATTCACTCCGTGGCGGCCTTGCTTGGATTGTTTCAGGCCCTTCCTTGAAACAATCATGGGGGCCAGGAGGATATATGGCTCTCCTTGGCTAGATGTGGGTCCTCTGCCCACTCCTGGAGCTACCTGAGTGGGGATCAGCCCCGCCTGAAACATGAAATGAACGTGAGAAAAGGGATCATCTCAGAAGAGACGTAGTGAATGCTTTTCGGGTAAAGACAACATATGGGGTTGGATACCTGGTAGCTCTTATAAGAAAACCAAGGAATGCAGCTGTGTTCAGATACTGAAATATGCAGGTCAGCTTAATTCAGATCCACATTCATGTTTTCTCTCTTTACTCACATGTTTCTCATAGAGCAGCAAATATTTCTGCCCAGTTCCTTCTATTCAACATTCAGCATGTGGGGGCCAGTGAAAATTTGCACTTATTTGGGGCTGACTAAACTTGAGGCATGGTTTTGTGTATTTTGCATAGATTTTCTTACTTTATCCTCTTTACAATCCTATGAGGTCATCCTTTTGTTTTAATCGTCACCTCTGCTTTACAGAAGAAGAAACTGAGGTACAGAGAAGTTTGGTAACTTCTTTACAGGCGTATGGCTAGTAATTTATGGAGCCAGAATTGAGGTTCAGACAGAAGTAACCCAGATTCTATCCTCAACCACCATATGTTTTGCTGTGTCTCTAGAATTCTGTTCCTTTTAAACAGAATCCTCATCCAGCAGGGCATCAGAAGGCAGACATGCCCCTTTACAGGTAGTTCCCTCACAGAGCGGCAATTCATACATTAAGATGGATTTGGTCCTAGCCAGGTAGCTCAGTTGGTTATAGCATCGTCCCGATACACCAAGGTTGTGAGTTCCATCTCTGGCCCGGGCATATACAAGAATCAACCAATGAATTCGTAAATAAATAGAACAACAAATCCCTCTATCATTAATTGAAAAAAATTATTTTAAAGATTGATTTTGCCGAAACCGGTTTGGCTCAGTGGATAGAGCGTTGGCCTGCGGACGGAGGGGTCCCGGGTTTGATTCCGGTCAAGGGCATGTACCTGGGTTGTGGGCACATCCCCAGTAGGAGATGTGCAGGAGGCAGCTGATCAATGTTTCTCTCTCATCAATGTTTCTGGCTCTCTATCTCTCTCCCTTCCTCTCTGTAAAAAATCAATAAAATATATTAAAAAAAAAAAAGATTGATTTGCATGAATGAGGGAGCATCACTGTGACAGTGGTTCCCCTGGGTAGTCCTATAGGATTCTCCTGGTTATAAGGGTAAGAAGCCCAATTTAGTTCACATTAAGCTTCCCCCACACATGAGAGTTTTCAATTGGCCATGCTCCGCAGAATGGCAGGGGTGCAGCTGGTCATGGAGGGTTACAAATGACAACTCAAACTCGTTTAGGCAAAGAGGGGGAATGTCTTGGCTCCAGTAACCAAATCCCAGAGCGGGAAGGAGTATAGCTGTGCTCAGGGTGGTGGGATGCAGCCAACAGCTGTCTCTCTACCACTTGAGTCTACGTGTTGGCTGTGTGCTGCCATGCAAGACTTCCCCATGAGGTCAGAACAGTGCTATTCCTAGGTTACCCATCTGCAAGGCATAATCTTGCTTCCCTCATTCCAAGAAGAAGGTTAACTGGCCTGGCCTGGGCCACACACTAACCCCGTGGGCAGGGCACACCGAATAATACAATAGACCACCTTGGGTGGGAATATGGATAGAGGATAAGCAGCCCCCAAAAGAAGGGGTAGGGTTAATGCCCCCACAAAAAAACAAGGAGGAGTGTTACACAGAGCACACCATAAATATGCATCTTGGGCACCAAATCTCTTTTGTGGGGCCTCCAGACCCCCTTCCTAGAGGAAGTAACCTATGTAATGAGGCCTCAAAGCTGAGCAGGAATTTGTTGAAAAGGAAATGGGAGAGATGAGAATTCAGATTGAGAATGGGCATGTACAAAGGTTTAAGGATGGGAAAGTTGAAGGAACCAGAAGTAGCTTGTTCTAACTAGTGTGTGGAGGTGGTAGTGGTGGGGTACGGTGGAGTATGGCTGCAGAGGAGACCACAGTGCATCTCATAAGGCCTGGACTTGATCTTGAAGGTATGCTTTGGGTGGGTGCAGTGGGTATCAGGTGGGAATTACCTCGGTATGTCAGAGAACAAAATGAAGAATAGTGAGGCCAAAGCGCAGCGGTCAGCCATAGGGAGCTGGGAGGCAGGACCCTGTGGGCTGGCAAATCCCCCCTTGAATGTTAACTAGCATGGAAAGCACAGTGAAGTCCTAAGCCAGTGGTTCTCAACCTTCTGGCCCTTTAAATACAGGTCCTCATGTGACCCAACCATAAAATTATTTTCATTGCTACTTCATAACTGTCATGCTGCTACTGTGATGAATCGTCATGTAAATATCTGATATGCAGGATGGTCTTAGGCGACCCCTGTGAAAGGGTCGTTCAACCGCCAAAGGGGTCGCGACCCACAGGTTGAGAACCACTGTCCTAAGCAGAATCGGTAGGGTCGGGTGTCGCTGAAGCCGTGAGGGTTGCCAGAGGCTCCTCACTGTAAGTGCGCTAAGGAGGGAAGAGACACAGGACATGGCTCCTTCATCTCCCCACTGTCCAGGCGGTTTCTGGAAGTTGCCCACACAACCCAACCAAGTTAAAGTACAACTGTCGCCAAACTGGTTTGGCTCAGTGGATAGAGCGTCGGCCTGCGGACGGAAGGGTCCCAGGTTCGATTCCGGCCAAGGGCATGTACCTTGGTTGCAGGCACATCCCCAGTAGGGTGCGTGCAGGAGGCAGCTGATCAATGTTTCTCTCTCATCGATGTTTCTAACTCTCTATCCCTCTCCCTTCCTCTCTGTAAAAAATCAATAAAAATGTATTTAAAAAAAAAAAGTACAACTGTCCTCAGTTTATGACAAGAAACCAGCTTCCCAAAGCCACAAACGCCCCCCCTCCCCCGTCCGCGAGGGTCTGAGCCAGAAAGACCCTGAACAGAAAGACCCTCTTCTGGATGGTGGGTTTCGGATGTTGAATTCCGAATGCGGGTTCGGGTTCTGAGGTCCCGGAAGCCGGAAGTGGGAGACAGGAAGTGCCTGAGGGGCCCTGAGTCTCCCGGATTCAGCCTTGCTGGCCGCCATGTTGGATCCCGGGAGGCGCCATTTTGCGAGGAAGGAAAGCGAAGACCCCGGATGTCGGATCACCGGGTCTGGATCCTCTGGGCCTGGAAGGCCCCTCAGCACGAGATCCTTGAGGAGGAGAAGGGGTTAAACCTTCCATCCCGTTTGTCCCGGGACCTCCGCTGCTCGCATCCCACCCTGGAATGTTCCTCGGAGCTACAAAGCCCGGCCGGCTGCCAAGTCGTATATATACGTTGCCTCGTCGCCAGGCAACGCGGCGCTCTTTCTGGGAAGACGCACAATGTGGTCACTGTTCCGGAGACGCCAGGTTCCAGATGGAAAGAGAGACTTTAATCCCCGGCTTCGCGGCTGTTTGGCACGTTTCTCTCCGGAGATGCTGCCGGGGCCGATTTCCACTCTGACACCCGCAACGCGGCCCTTTCTACGTCTTGATGTTTAAAAACTGCAATTCGTGGCAAGTGGGATCAACCACCAGTGGGGCACTGGAGAGAAGACTGGCGGGAAATTTAGACACAAGAGGGACGGGGCGCCTAAATGTTAAAATGAAGAGGAGCCCTGGCCGGGGTTGCTCAGTGGTGAGAGCGGCGGCCTGCCCTCCCTTTCACGCTCTCTAAAAATCCATGGAAAATATATTCTCCCCCAGTGAGGATTGACAACAACAACAACAAAAGGTGAAGACACAGGAGAACAATGATAAATAGACAAATAACAGAAGAGGAAAAGGCCAGGAAAGTGAGGGAAGGAGGCTCAACTTCTTGGGTGCTTATTAAATGCAAATAAAAATAAAAGGCCAGAATCAACTTGAAGCCTAATCAAAAAATTAAAATCTTGGTAAAGGCCGGGGCTGATGAGTGCAGCATCCACAGTGAGCAAGGGTTTGCAGGGCCTGACCTCCTGGAGGGTGATTTTGTAGGATTTGACACCATTTTGAATATGCATAACCTTAGACCCAGAAAACATATTTCTATTAATCCTACAGAAGGACTCACAGAAGCGCACAGTTTGAGAATTGCCAAAATATTGAAGATATTGTGTCTTTCCATCAATAGAGATGCTGCATCCATGCTGGGGAATCGTGAGTGGCTGTCCGGAAGTTGGGTGCAGAGTTGTGTGTTCGGATGTAAAAAGTTTCCTTGGATGAACTGTTGTGCCAAAAAGAGAAAAAATGAAGTTGGTGAACCATATGTAGAGTCTGAACTTGATCCTATTAAAAAGTATATGTACGTGTGTATTTATATTTACTTAGTTTTTGTACACAGCAAGAATTTTTCTGGCAGGAAAAACGAAATGCTAATAGCGGTTAGCACTGTGGGATAAAAAATTGTCCGGGATAGCCTGTTGATTCGGCAAACAAAAAAAAAAAGCGAGTTGCTGAACAATGTTTAGAATATGAGTTCATTCCTATGAAAATAAAACTGTGTATGTGTGTACACCTGTGCACCTTTGAACGTACAAAAACTCCTAGAAGGAAAATAAACAAAATATTAATTGTGATTGGTCCTGTAGAATTGAGAAAGATTTTCACTATTTTGCTTCCTAGGTCTCCATATAGTTAAAGTTTTTCAAAGATAGCATATATATTTTTTTAAAAACTCTTCAAAAAATACCTTTCAGAAATTATTATAATCATCAGCCTAATGTAAGTATTTTATTAATATTTCTGTTTTATACACCCATGTTTTGAAGGCTCATTATATGACAGGTGCTGTGCTGAGGGGCAGCAGAGAGAATGGGTTGGTAACCGTAACTGGAGGTTCAGGAAGGATCTGGAAGGCCACTGGCTGCTATAGTTACCTAGGAACCAGGGGCATGTGGCTTAGCCTAAACTGGGAGCAGTGGGGATGGGGAGACATGTCTAGATCTGAGAGAGATTCACACTATGAGTAAGGACAGCTCTGAAGAGGATGAGATGAAAGGGGAGAAGTGATAGTTCAAGACAGAAGGAAGGGGATTGGCTGCCCTCTGGGTAAGGGAGAGGAAGCGACCTGGATATCCTATGATTCAGGTGATGGTGATGGAAACACTGAAGACACTGCTCTGGGTGGGAGCGGAGGGAGGGAGGGAGGGTAGGTGTTGGTCTGGAGTTGTTGAGTGCTTGGGCAACCAGGTTAAGAGTTGAGGAAGAAACAATATGGAGGTTCCTCATAAACATGAAATTACCATATGATCCGGAAATTCCACTTCTGGGTATAGACTCAAAGGAATGACAAACAGGGACTCAAAGAGACATTGGTACACCCATGTCCATAGCAGCAGTAGTCACAATAGCCAAAAGGTGGAGGCACTCGAGTCCATCAGTGGATGAGTTGATAACACTGTATGTATGGTTCATCTATACAATGGCATATTATTCAACCTTAAAAAGGAAGATGAATTTGTGGAATATAATGAACAACATAAACTGATGAACAAAAACAGATCCAGAGACAGAGAAGCATCGATCAGACCATCAAACCTCAGACGGAAGATAGGGGAGGGTGGGGGTAAGGGCGAGATCAACCAAAGGACTTATATGCAAGCATATAGGCCTAACCAATGGGGACAGACACCAGGGGGATGAGGGCATGAGTGGGGGGGGGGTAGGGGACAATGAGGGGATAAGGACACATATGTAATATTTATGAATCAATAAAGAAAAAAAAATTTTTTTAAACACGGAAGAAGATTCTGACATGTGCTAAAACATGGATGAATCCTGAGGGATTGTGCTAAGTAAAGTAAACCAGTCACACAAAGATGAATTCTGTAGGATTCCATTTATATGCCATCTCCAAAGTAGTCAAACACATACACGCACATGCATTTTTTGTGGAGGCAAATATATCCACGAAACCTTCACCACCATCAAGACAGTGAACTCATCTACTGCCCTCAAAAGTTCCTTTTTTGCCCCTTTACAGACTCTCCCCGTGTGCCTCCCCACCTCTCCTCCATGAGAAACCACCAGTCCACTGTATTCCATTTGGATTTTCAGAATTTTATGTACATGGAAGCACCTCATGTGTATCATCTTGCCTGGGTTCTTTCACTTTGCTTAGTTCTCTTTAGGTAATTATATGTTGCTGCGGGTGTCAATCGTTTGTCCTTTCCCATTGCTGTATTCCATTGTGTGGATACACCACATGTGCTTACCCGTTCATCTGTTGGTAGGCATTTGAATTGTTGCCGGTTACCGGCCATTTAAGAATAAAGCTTCTGTGAACGTTCATGTACAAGTCTTTGTATGGACATAAGTTTTTTTTTCCTCTTGGGCAGGTACCTGGGAGTGGACGGCTGGCTCATGTGGTGTGTGTATGTGTTTACATCCTTCTGGATGGTTCACAGGACCCCGAGTTCATTTGCGAGTTCGTTTGTGTGGCACTGAATGCTCTTTAGTATAAGTATGGCCCCAAAAGTGTATGTGTTTGTTGTTTATCTGAAATTCAGATTTAACGAGGTGTCCTGTGTTTTTATTTGCTGGGTCTGGCAGCTCTAGCCTTCTCCCAGTTCTTTTGAAGTCTTGGTTCACATGTCATCATCTCCCCAGAGAGCTCTTAACCGAGTCCATCCTCACAGCAGACCATTGCCCCTTCTCTAGGACCTTCACCAGCTTCCTTTCCTTCATGCCACGTCTCACGCCACATCTCACGACCTGACACTGTGTATCAATTTCTTTGTTCACTTCTCTTTCCCCCAACTACTCATGCACCAGCAACACAGGTTAGGGATGTTGACCCCTTGCTTGTTCTCGTTTTACCCCAAATACTTAGAAGAGTATCTGGCACATAGTAAATGTTCAGATAGTGTTGGGAATAAATCTAAACCCCAGCTTCCTCTTGCTAAAGCAAAGCCCGCAGCCCCTGCTGTCCGTTTGAAATGCAGAACAACTGAAGTCTGCCAAGATCATGCATACACATGTATCTAGGCAGCTGTGTCCAAGGACATGACTTACTGCTAAGCCCCTTTGGATCTATGCATCACTTGGTCAGCACATTCTCTTTCCAGTTAATCAGCTAAAAGCCCAGCGATGTTTTGTAACCCTCGCCCCACCCCGTGTGAAGCTAGTCGTCTAATCATTTCAGTTTAGAGATGGATTTGAGGCATCGAGCTGTTAAGGATGGATCAAGGTTGGGTGTGATATTCACTTTGTTTTGCAGAGAAAATGCTAACCTTGACCCAAAAGAGGGATCAAAGAGAAGTCAATGGGGGGTTGGGGGGGGGTGATGGAAGCAGTAACCTGCGGGTGAGAGATCTGAGACCCCGCAGTCAGACATATTTCGGGGCTGGGGTTGAGGAGAGAGATCTGGGCTGCTGTTGGTACCCACGGCGGTGACTGAGCTGTTGCCTTAGCTGAGTTATCAGAAGAAAGGCCACTGGGGACAGGCCCCTCCACGCCCTCTATGGAGCGCCTCGGTTCTGTTGGTCGGAGTATCCATCAGTTCAGGCTGATCTCAACTGTGCACCTGAGAAAAACCTACCACGATGACGGTGGGGTCTGACCAAATAACTGAATGAACACCCCCTCCCCTGGGAACTGACCTTAGACCACATCACAGCCAACATTCCCTCTCTTAGCCCACATTCTGCTTGCTAAGACCACATTCACTTGCTAAGACCACATTCACTTGTGAAGACCATTATCTTTCCCCTCAGGACCTGCCCAGAGAATTCTCTGCCCAGAAAAACCCCGCCTAGAGTCCTTTAAACCCTCGGACTCCCTGTCCCTGGGTGCTGGTGCCATTTTGGGGCTCGGCCCATCTGTTTTTCCAGGTGAACTAGCAAATTCATGATTCTTTTCCCCTTTTGGCCTCATGCATACCCCCTTCAGCAACCCTAACAATGACCTCAATGAATAAGCATTTCCTTTTCTTCTCTGAGGATGGACTGTTAAGGCTGAGTGACTTCATTAAAGACCCGGGTTCCTTTTCTCTGTCTTCCTCACCTTTTGTAGTGTAAGGCCACTTCCTCGTGGTCACAAGATGGCTGCTGCACTTTCAGGCATCACACCCACATCCCAGGCAGGAAAAAAGTGGGAAAGGCCATATATGTTCTCTTCATGAAGCTTTTGCTCTTTACTCAGGAATGAGTGCCGAGATGATTTTTGCCAGGTTTCATGGACAGAACTGGCTCACCTACCCCGTGCATGGAGCTTCAAGGGATTTCTGAGGAGGTGGTATTTTTAACTGAGCACATTGCTGTGCTAACAAAAATCAGAGTTGTGGGTGTGTATTTTTAAGAGT